ACTGCTCTTTATCTTCTCAGCGCGGGGCAGTATGCTTGCCAGCGCGAGGATTCGCATAAATAAATGTCTAATAGTGCTTTAAATTGGGTTCGAGAAGGAGCGTGGACAACCGTCGGAGGAAGGTCATTCCACGCAGCTACTACCCGAATTGAAAAAAGTTTTGTCTAATGGGCTGATCCGTGATCGCTTCCCTGTACATTCGACTAGTGGAAGTGATGTCCGGTAATTCCGAGAGATCTGCCGTCGGACACATACTTAGATTCAGTTATTACTCTGACCGAATGACTTATTAATGACGCTCATGTATTTTCGGGTTTTATTTTTCGGCTGACTTGCCTAGCAATACGCCAGCAGGAGATGCAATAGTTTACTACCGACTGGACCTCGAAATTCAAGCTGTTATAGTTTAAGGCTCAGTGACTCCTGACTATCTTTATCATGGTGATTAGTAACTAGGGAGCGGCAAGTCTTCTTGTAACACGCTTGCTGGAATTGACAACATGTGTGGTGGTTTGTACCTATCTTTCGCATCGCGGATTCACGGATTGATCGTGAGGCTTTTGCCCAAGTTTCCTGGGTCGGTTTGGTTCTCGTCGGGCAGTGGCGATCGTTCACCTGAAAGGCACAAGTGAAAAGAAGGTGTAGCACTGCTCCTTATGTTCTCAGCACTGGGCAGTATGCATGCCAACTCGAGGATTCGCATAAGCTGTAAACTGGGTTCTAGGAGGAGCGTGGACAACCGTCGGAGGAAGGTCATTCCACGCGGCTACTACCCGAAATGAGAAAAAATTTTGTCTAATGAAAGTGTGTGCTCTGAGCTTGAAAATTTCCGTACTATGTCCCCGCCGTGTGTTTGCTGGGTCAACGGTGAAAAACCTGTTGGCCACGCTTTGTTCAAACAGGGCATAAGAATTAGGACCCCTCGGAGGCAACGATACTCCATGGGAAAGAGATCGAGCCTCGCGAGACGCGTTTTGTAGTCCACGGGTTTGAGGCCAACAACCATTTTCGTAGCGGCTCGCTGGACACGCTCAATGATGGTGAAGCCTTTCGTGCGTCCTTAGTAGACGCACGCTTCCATTGCGTGTTTCGTCAACTGCGCAAACGTTTTCGGTTGAATAGACAAAACTACAAGGATGCGATTCCCCACGATTTCATTCAATGCAAGCGTGGGCGCGTTGTTCGACTTTCTCATCTGATTTCGTCCGCGCCTGCTGCGGCCATTCGCTGACCTGGGCCACCGACGGACTATTTTAGATGGAACAATTCTTATTGACTCTATTCCATTCGATCCACTTTATTAGTGTATAACCAGTCTACGGTTATTCTTTTGCATCAAACTACCACAGACTGCCAGTAAAGCAACTTTTTGGATAGCCAGACTAAAAGCAGATGCAACTTAGACAGAGAGCCCCAAGCATATTAACTTTGACGACCTGATGTCCACGGGGAACTACTTGGCTGAGTTTTACCACCCGAAGTTTTTGTCTTATTCTTCATGAAATCCTCCTTGAGATCGGTATCCAGGAGATTCTCTTCTACCATACGCGGACCACCTCCCAAATTTTTTAGAGACATGGGTTCTGGTAAACGTTCAGGTCTGTGTAATCGCGTCTGACTGCTTGAATCATACGATATTCCGAAGTATCCTACTGCCGAAATGCTAAAACAGCAGTAATAAGCACAGATTTCATCCTGACAATCTCAGCACCGTGCATAAAGTTGCCTATTTGGTCAAAGAGAGATTCCTGGTGACCGTGCATTCGAACTTTTATGAGACCCTTATAAAAACGCCGTACATTGTAGTGGTAAGCCTTAATCCAATTTTCCTGCCTTCTGTATACATTTTTCGGGGGTCGAACTTAACTATAACCATGTGCCTGCAGAACATGGCAGTCAACCATGGTGCGGCCCTCTCACTTCTTGAATTGCATCCAGTGTACTTCCCAGTTCCCGATAAACTGTAAACCCTAAATGACGGGCGAGTATAATGCCGCGTCCATTATCTACATATTTCGGCTTCCCTTTTTGTCTAGCTGTTAAGCATGCGGTTGAAATATATACACTCTAATGCCCACTTAAACCGGTAAACTATCAGTCTGTTTGCAAGAAATCTGACCCCCATGAACTCGTGAGAAAAAGAACATTAATTAGGCTATTTGACTTCGCCCTAAGAGCTCAGCCTCATGTTCCCTCCCTCAACAACACTAACAAAAAACATTTTCATTCTTCTCACGTTTACTACGTGCCGTTAGAAACTGAAGCAACATCGGGCACTAATCACTGAGACCCTGGGTCAATTGAAGTATCTCTGTTTCCCGCCTATCCGCAGAGTGCAGAAGCCTGCAAATAATAATAACGTAGCAGACAATATTGTATTCAATAATGTATCAAATGTGCCTAACTTATCAGGAAACTAATTTTTGTGAGTAAGCTTCCAGTATAACCTAGATAAGCACAAGGATACTGTGACCACTGGAGGCCATGTAAGGTCTAATAACGCATTCATTAAAAAGTGTGACTGCCGTGAATCCATAATAGTGATTTTGACAGCAGACCTTTCTGTAGTTCTTGCCCTACAGGGTGATGGCTTGGAGGCAGGCTTGGCCTCTGTCACCAGCCAACTGATGATATCAGATACAGCCCAAATGTCGGGCTCACACTGCAACAATTTTCGGCCTTGAATTATGCGAATTACAAAGAAATGCATTACAAATACGTATCATGGTAACCTCCAGCACAACGGCTATTGTATCAAGGTCGCAGGGTCGAAACATGAGCCTTATTTTGAAGGGGAGTGGAGGTTAAAGTAGTACGGCGATAGTTCAGTAGCTTCTGTGATTGTGGAATACAACTTGACTAAAGCGCAGTCCAGCCTCGGGATTATTTTTTACCACATCATCAAAAACAACTATGCATGATAAGCGGATCTCCGTAACGACCATCGGAAATCAAAGCAGTACAAGTACACAATGAAGGAAACCAGTAAGTATAAATGGTTAGTTGGAAGCGTTTAGAACGGCCTAGCAGAACTGATGAACCTGTCATTGGCGGATACCTGCACACGCACTGTCTCTACTGTGCCAAAAACACCTGCAACCATTTTTTAACGTGACCTCACAGACACTGTTGACTGTCACTTATCGTGACTTCAAAGCTGGAGGACAAATCCCATTTCGCACAAGTTAACGAGAGTGAACACTGGTTAAAGTAAAAAAATTGTTGACAGCTACGACACAGCAAGCACTGATTTTGACCGAACACGATATGGTGCACTATACCAATACACTCCGAGTCACGCCCCAGGAACAACCCGATATTTATCCACAGGACGGAAGCACACTATCAACTAACAAAATGACCGTCCCCTTATCCACGCATATCGCTTAAACCGAATTTTTTCGAAGCCTTTCACTTTTTGCAGAGGGCAACTACGCTTACATCGTGAATTACACTCTGACTAATCCGACTATCAAGGTGTTCACGAGGTAGCCTGATGTTTCCACGAAGTTTTCATTTATCCATATTTATTTGCTGCATTTTTGACGTCCGTCTGTTAGTGTATCGCCGTTGAACAAGCTGAAGTACTCAACGCCTAAAACCAGGCTAACTTACCTAAATATGCCGAAGCTGCCCAACATACCTCCTCATCAGTTATTAAAAATTGTTCCGAGGCTTATTATGTAACCAAATATATGTTGACAGCGTAGCGTCTTCAGCCATCTATACTAATCTCACTTATACTGGCAGCACTCAAACACCCTCTTTAAAATAATCCAAGGGATCTTGCACCGAAGAAGACTAGTTGTCTAACGGTTCCTGCAATACCATTTTGGTTGCACTGCTGGACAAGTAAAGCTTCTCTTCGACGCATTTTGAAATTCGACTCATCGACGTTTATGGGCTCTAGACCAAAAACGTTATTATTTGATTCCTCCTGTAAATCATTCGCAACCGCTTGTTATTTTCCCATTTGTTTTCACTTCTCACGTGCCGCGAAATTCGCGTCTCTTAACTATAACGCAATTACGCCTATCTATCGTTTCTTCTCTGATTTCTTACTTCCACTTTGTCTTCCATGGCCCATTGTTATTTTCTTCACGATTTTATGCTCCATACGTTTTGCATGTAAACATGTGTCAGGTCTATGCCTTTTAGAGTGCTTGCCATGATGGAAAAATAGACACGAGGATGAAACGGCCTTCTGTGATGATAGACAGGCATATGATTGCGCGCGTCAACTTGCTTTTGCGGCAGCCACACTTTTGAATTATCTCTGAATTGCATCTAACTTAGTGATGTTTGTTGGGATATTGTTTAAACCGGGTTCGTAGTGTGCAATAATTTGTTACGCTATCGGCCAAGACTGAAGGTCCCCTTTTATTAGTGTCGGATTCACTCAACATCGGAGTTCCGGGTAGCTTCTTAGTATAAACACGTATATGTATCATTCGGAACCAACTCGGTATTATTTTCAGGAAGCCAACCTGCGTCAATGTAGTTTCATTTTCCCAAAGATTGCTCCATTGTCGATCCCATGTTATACTTATTTCATGATGCCGATGGACCCCTTTTTTCAATGAACTAATCGTCAAAATTATATTAACTTCTCTTATTCGTTTATCCCTATCTTCAATACCCGCTCAGTATCACTGCTTATAATCTGATACCTACAGTCATCCTGTAAGATCCAAAGCCGCTCGGATCTTACGATTATCCTCAGGTTATTGCTGGTGAACCAGCAACTACTGGGGTAGTGCTCATGAGGTAACAGGCAAACACGTGTTGAAGAAGGTGAGGTCCGTAGTTAGGGGAAAGATGCAAATATTTTGTCACTCCCTAGCCGTTGACAAAGGAGATATGAAAGATGGATGCCAGATAATCAGGTTTGATAATCAGGCATTCACATAGAGGGTGCTCCCTTCGTAAACCATGTTTGAGTATGTGGCCTCCCTTACCTCATCAAATGGATGCTCGGACTCGGCACACGGATCCACGTTAAATGTATGGTGCAAGGACATGTCCAAGCGTTTCGCATCCGCCTAAAGCAAAGGCCTGCATTTTTGCCACCTATAGATCTGAGAATTTTACCGGAGGTTTCGTCCTATAGGTTAGACAATCTACGCTTGTTGGCCTTTCCGCAAAAAGTGGCTCACCTCACGGGACGAAGCGCCAACTAAACCTCTGCATTTATGGCGGTGCCTGTCGGTCTTGTGGTGACTGCACATTGGTGCACGCTTAACAAAGTGGGTCCTTGCAGGAAAAAGAGGAGGCACGGTTTTTGTCCTAATGGGCCACGAAGTGTTCAATAGCTTTCCTACTGCTATCCCTTTAAATGAGTAGTGGTTCCACTTACGAATTCAAGTCCCATAGCTCAAACTTACATTATCTATTATCTGTTGAACTTTTCTCTTCTTACCCGTTCCAAACAGCGACCATCCTCCATGACAAACGAAAAAATATATACATGCAGTAGTCAATTTTTGTCGGGGTGTTGCAGAGCGGAGCATTCTGCTAACTGGATAATGATTTGGGGTAATTGCCGAATGATGTTAGGGGTTCTTGAGAAGGAACCGGTGGAAAAAGACTGGCGAACATAATGAAACGCGCTGAGTTGGTGGCCTGACACTGATAGTCACCATCGGGGTATGGAATTTAGAAATTTCTCCTGATCTTGTGATCGAGGCTCAAAGAATTTAATCAGCAAGTGATATCCTGCTCTCTTCGACTTTTGCAACACACGTATCACGTTGACAAAAGAAAATAAAGTAAGTCGCACGATGGAGATAAGGAGAGTTGATCATTCCAGAGGGGAATGATGTAGTCAGGTTGAAAGAAACGGTGCTAGGTATGACGAGGTTGCATTTGTTTTAATCCCATAAAACAGATGAGCCAATGCGTATGTCTCAAGGCCTTTGGCCGCATCGATGGAATATCGGAAGAAAAGGATGGGAAACGCAAGTGAATCACCTTTGCTTAAGCACATGATAGACCCGGTTAGGGCACATTACGTTTGTGGTTCCCGGCAGGCCTTCTCAAATGGCTATTAATAAAAGCAGGTCTACAGTTTTCTTGATATTCACTTATATATTTCGCCTCACCAGCGTGCCGCGCAAGGTTTTGGAACGCATTCTGGAGCGAGCTACCCTAGATCACCTTACTTCCAGCAATCTGATATCTCCAGCCCAACACGGATTTCTCCCAAACCGCTGTCGTGTGACAAACATTCTCGTGTTTATGAACAGCTTAACCCAAGCCAAGGACGAAGGACTCATATCGGATGCCATATGTTTCGACTTCTCAAAAGCATCTGATAGGGTCCCACACGTCCCGCTGCTCCACAAACTCGAGTCTTACGGAATTCAAGGGAAAATCCTTCGCTGGATCAAGGCGTTCCTATCAGACAGATCATCCTGAGTGAGAATAGGCTCAACCTATTCCTCTCCAGCGCCGGTCTCCATTGGAGTTCCTCAAGGCTCCGTCTTGGGACCTCTCCTGTTTCTGATCTACGCCAACGACCTCCCGGACATTCTTGCGAGTCCATGTTTACTTTTTGCAGACGACTTGAAATTCTGGAGTTCCAATGCAAGTGCCCTCCAAATGGATGTAGACGCTGCCAAGCAGGAGACTCAGAGGAGACTCAGAGGACGCTTTTGTTATGCATGATGAGAAAGGACCAGGAAACATCATGAGGATAGATGCCAAAAAGGATTTGGGCTTCTGGGTCTCCTCAAACTTGTCCTTCTCACTACACCATGAGAAATTGGCCTGAAAGGCATTCGCCATCCGACGCACCTTCTCCCATATTACTCGCATGGACTTCCAAAAACTCAATGGGGCCTACTCCAGACCGCTACTGGAATACGCCAACCAAGTTGTCTACTCAGGACGCACGAAAGACGTCACCCTCATTGAGCGTGTCCAGCGGGCCGCTACGAGAATGGTTGCCGGCCTCAAATTCATGGACTACGAAACGCGTCTCGCGATGCTTGATCTCTTTCCCCTGGAGTACCGTCGCCTCCGAGGGGACCTAATTCTTACTTACGCCCTGTTTGAACAAAGCTTGGCAAACAGGTTTTTTACCGTTGACCCAGCAAACACCCGGCGGGGACATAGTAAGAAAATCTTCAAGCTCAGGGCACACACATTCATTAGACAAAACTTTTTTTCATTTCGGGTAGTAGCTGCGTGGAATGACCTTCCTCCGACGGTTGTACACGCTCCTTCTCGAACCCAATTTAAAGCACTATTAGACATTTATTTATGCGAATCCTCGCGCTGGCGAGCATACTGCCCCGCGCTGAGAACATAAAGAGCAGTGCTACACCCTTTTTCACTTGTGCCTTTCAGGTGAACGACAGCCGCTGACCGACAAGAACAAAACTGACCCGGGAATCTTGGGCAAAAGCCTCGATCCTGTGTATTAATCCGTGAATCTGTGAATCCGTGAAAACCTGGGCTGGTGGAGTGTACATTCGGAGGGTGAAGGTATCAGAAAAAGGACGCCAACGAATTTTTCATGTGGTCGCTTGAAGAACCAAACACACGCGTAACTGAACCTAGAATAACTTAGCGGTCAACCTGAGAGTGCTTCGAGATCCACGTTTTCCTGGTTCGCACTGCCCACTGAAGTCTGACCTTGACTCCCACCATCTATGAAATGGCTTTTAGTTTCCGCTGTGCATGCGCTACAGAGCACAACCGAGTTGTTGAGTTAATATATGATCTCGAACTTATACAAAGCCCGTGCCGCCTATACACGCGCTTAGAATCTTGTTCTTCTGCTGAATATAAATCGGACAGCTCCAGAGAATCAATACCAAGGCCTCCTGAATAGACGACAATTCCAAAATGTTTGAGCAGATGGTTAAAGATATGCACGTACCCCCAGACGTTCTTGCTCAGCTGTCTGACGAACAGAAGGACGTTCTACATTACGAAATACGTCAGGTAGATTTGTTGTGTAGCTCATCCTTAGTGTTAAACACAGGAACAAGTCCGACGGTACAATGAGTGGCAAAACACACCGGAAAATGCTCCAGGTGAGGCATCACCAATAATAAAATACGCAGTACCTTTTTGTGGCTCATATTTGTTGGTACATTTTGGTAACAGCACTTTGGTACAATACGCTAACGGGAGCTCACGCGAGGTTACCCTATTTTTCTAATAAAGGACTAAGTTTATAGTGGGTGATTGTAATCATTTCCAGGATGACGTGCATCGGGCAGACATGGAACTGAATGGACTGAGGTGAAGCAATGCAGAATACCATCTTGCATGAGAATAAAAAACTTTTTGACCAGTAAAAGATAACCCGGAGACAGATCAAACCACGATGTTAGAGATATGAGATGTGATCCATCACCAAACATTTTCAAAGAATACTACACCTGGCAGTATATTGTGCTCATATAAAACCAGAAACTAAACAAAAGCATAGAGGTGGCAGTAGAATACAGAAACGAAGAAAAAAATCAATCCCATACACAAGTGTATATAAGTTTGGTGCGAGGAAAATATACAAAAATTCTATGGTGTAGACATGCCTCTGTTAAGCAGTAGGCAGCCACTGGGTCGCTAGCTATCCCAGACTTGAAGATTGTTGACCAAACACCTTAACGAAGGGATGCAGACCAAAATGCATCTGAGCGCATGTACGACACGTGATGCTGAAAATACAATGACAATGTAAGAGCAAGCAGGATTAGGGAACAAAAAGCAGTTATTTTTTCAGATTATTCCCAGTTAACAGGGTGATGCTGCCTTAGTCAACGTTACACTATCTGCATAGATAGATTATGTTCGGTGAAAAGCAAGTTTCAAGAAGGTGACGTAAAAGAAATGTCAAATCAATTAATTATGTCTGGTGGACTGAGTGTCGCCATCCCTCCCATCACTGACAACGCCAAATCCGACTATTGCGAGGAAAATAGAAAAACGGTAAAATTGTTCCATTGGGCAAATGTAATAAAGACAGGCTATCTTTTTAAGGTTAGCACTGCCAACTGTGTCGGCCTTCCAGGTACTGGGAAGCTTGAGACAGCCTTGCTATATGTGAGGCAAAAAAGATCGCAAAATAAGATTGGCACGAATAATTTTGTCATCTCCCGCGGTATCAAGGGCCTAAGACAGTCACTGGCAGTGTTATAATCATGCACTGTGTGACACGAAAAAAAAGAAAAAAGTAAAAAGAATAAATATTTTGGGCACGCTGAAGACGGTTTATAAGATTTTATTTTCTTTTGAATCGTCTTTCGTAAATCTATTATTCCTTAACCGAAGAACGGCGCGGCGAAACAGTGTTAACACTGTATGCATCTAACACTGCAAGCTATTTAACTGCTTATTATGAATTCGGCATCATAAGTGCTTAGGCCTATCGGAAAAGCTCTCTTTTCAGAGAAACGGTCAGCTGTAGCACTCAGTGGACAGATGCAGTCTAATAAAGTGGCAAGTTTGCTGTAAAATAAAGGTGGGTTATCTACAACTTCAACTGAAACGTACGGTGCATTTTGTTATTGTTTGTCACGTACCTTGACCGTGCAGCTTGAAGTTCTTGTAAATACTGCTTAGAAGATTCCTCTGAATTCCTGCACAATTTACAGAACCAGCGCTTGAATTAAAAATGAAAGATGTAAATACCACGAGAAAAGTTGAAGCCATAGAGAGATAGGTGCCTAAGTGTTATGTTCTCTACTAATTAGTCAATCAACCTTGTCAGTTACACACGAAATTGAGAAGACAAAAAGCCTTGAGGAAATTATACTGCAGCAACTGAACAGCCAATATTGTGATTCGAAGAATCAAGAATGGAATGGAACAAAACAGTCCAATGAAAGGCTGAGATAGAGAGAGGGAAATGTTGAGCAATATGCTCGTTAGGAGTGCCTCCTAACACTTTCCATTTGAAGTCCTTGTTCGTACGACTGGAGTTGTGGGTTCAGTTGCATTCGTATGGCAGGCTTTCTGATCCGATCGGTCCATCTTCTAGGTGTACAACTTTTGGAAATTTCTGGTTCATTCATCGGCTATGGAGATTTTGGCTTTTGAGCTAACTCAAATGTGTCGAGAAGAGTCTCCAATGGAAGAACAGGGTCAAGTGTAGCTGCCGCTGGAAGATAGGAAGCGCGGAGCTGATGGGCATGACGGACCCAGATAGAGGAGCATACATTTACCTCATAGACAACTCTTCCGGCAGGGCGCAAAATTTTGCCTTGTGTCCACTTTTCCGCGCCACCACGATAGTCTTTCGCTAGCACAGATTGGCCGGGTATAAATATGTTCTTTGCAGCACCGTGATGTCGGTTGGAGTGAACTTCCATATTTATGTTTCTGCCGGTTTACGAATGTGGTGTTGGACGGATGACGTCAATGGGTAAGCGGACCATCCGGTTCATAAGTACCTCCTCCGGGGACTTACCACGTGCAGCGTTAACATTTGGTGTCGCCCTGTAACTCAGCAGAAATGTCTCAATGATTTCCGGTGTGGTCCCCTCCCCTTTGAGTTTTTGGAGTGCGCGTTTGAAAGTGTCCACAAATCTTTCCACTTGGCCATTTGATTGTGGATGAAATGGTGGTGATCGCACGTGCTGTATGGCTTTTTTTGAGAGAAATCGGAAAATTTAGCGGAAGTGAATGCACTGCCGTTGTCGGAAACAATGATATTTGGAACTCCGAAGTGGCTTAACACATGTTGTAGTTTTTAAATGGTAGCCTCAGCAGTAATATGGTTCAAGCTAAACACTTCTGGCCATTTGTTATAAGCATCTACTAGGATGAGATATTGTTGGCCGTTGATTAGTCCCGCAAAATCAACATGAATTCGTGACCATGGAGTTTCTGGGACAGGCCATGAGCATAATTCTGTTTTTCGAGGGGATTTTGCAGATAGTTGGCATTTGGAGCACTTGCGTACAAGTTCTTCTAACTGCTTATCCATGCTCGGAACTTCTTGATGGCGAAGATTATTTCTAAAGCATCTTTTTCAATTTGACCATAATTGCTCTCGGTAACTGTTAGGGATCTAGCTGCGTGGGTAATTGCTTTTTCGTTTCCGTCGGGGAAAACGTGAGAGATGACAGCTCCAATACCATAGTTGGATGCGTCTGAAACAACAGTAATGTTCAGGGCTGGATTATAATGTGTGAGTAGTAGATCAGAGCTGAGAAGGGACTTTACTTTGTCAAAAGCGGACTGGCACTGATGTGACCAATTCCAAGGCACATCCTTTTTTAGAAGATGATTAAGTGGTTCACGGACACGGTGCATGTCTGGCAAAAATGAA